CCTCCGTCACCCTATTCTTAAAAAGAGTTAAAGCGTCTTTCACGAATGTGGCGACCAGCATATTATTATAGTCCAACCACAGATGGAGGTGTGTCGTGCAGACCTTTACTTGACCCAAAGTTCGGGAATTTGAATATCATGCCCCGGGGAAAAACAGCCGAAACAAAAACCTGAGAGGGGAAGTGAAATGGGGCGGGAAAGGGTGGGAGGAGGCGGCGGAAATTATCACCAAACTTTAAATGTCAGCATACCCATTAGCACAAGAACTGCCCGATCAAGCCTTGTGAATTCCCACAAAATGGAGCGTTTACAGCTTTTAATGAACCAAATGACGTGTTTTCTGAAAATAAGCGAGATCTCTGGCACAGCAACGGACCAAGTGCCATTTAAACCCATATAAACTTGTCTGATATAATTACAGGTCTAATTTCTTATCATTGGCATCCCATAATTATGCCCGTTCCTCTTTTTGTTATAAAAGAGAGAGAGAGAGAGAGAGAGAGAGAGAGAGAGAGAGAGAGAGAGAGAGAGAGAGATGCCCGAAATGCAAGATAAAAGAGGCTTCAATTTGCCTGGTTGCCTGCCACAAAACCAAAGAGGAGATAATTAAAACATTACTTTTTTCCATGAACTTCAATATAATGAGTTGCTTCCCTCCAAATCTGTGACGCTTAGCCTTGGCCTTCTACTCCTTAGCCTTCCATTCTTCAGAAGAAAAACATGAAGCGTACGTTGATTTTAAGGTTATGGTGGTGGTGTTGGATGTGGAAGGGGGAAGGGGTGATTAGATGGGAAGAAGATCTCCCATATTATTATATACCTATAGCTTGTTCAAGATTTATACCTCAAATGAATTACTGAATGAAGGAATATCAATCCCATTGAATACATCACCATCCCTTACACTGACTGTCTGCCTGCCTGTCTGTCGTTCTGTCTGTCTGTCTGTCTGTCTGTCTGTCTGTCTGTCTGTCTGTCTGTCTGTCTGTCTGTCTGTCTGTTTCTCTGTCAGTGCCCTTCTCTCTCCCTGTCTCTCTTTATGTTTCTCTGTAGCTGTCTCTGTTTCTCTCTGTCTCTGTATCTCTGTCTCTCTCTGTGTGGGTGTGTATGTATGTATGTGTGTGTGTGTGTGTGTGTGTGTGTGTG